CTTTACTGCCCCATAATCAGCGATGAAGATCCCGGCAACACAAAAAGGAAGTCTTATATATAGCAGGGGAATGTCAGTCACCCGCGGTGCCATTGTAATTGCTGGATTAAGTATGTATTTGCTAAAGTCCCCTGAGGGGATTGTTACAGTCTATGGGGCTGATACCAGACATACATGCTTGTCATTGGTTGCAAAAGGACACAGCAAACCCCCAGGTCCTGGTGCTCCCCTACATGGGCGCTGCGCTGGGGTCAGGGAGCAGGGCTCCTGACTGAAGACAGGGGACTCATGATCCCCACTGATGCCAATAAAGCCTCCTGCAAGGGTAAATCAGGAGTGAGGATAGATACATAGATGGATGTGTATGGAGATCAGTGGATGGATGGATAGACAAAGGGGTGTATATGGGGATAGATGGGTAAGTATGGGGTTATGGGTGGATGGATGGATAGAGGGGTGCATATGGGGCTGGGTGGATAGACAGAGGGAACTGTATGGGGATGGATAGATAAGGTAGCTAAACGCGGTGACAGATCCAGACTCTGTAGTAACCCTACTGAAGCAATTATGCCAATAAGTAGCGCAGTTGCGGAACGATCCTTTAGCCGACTCGAACTTATAAAGTCCTACCTGCACTGGGTGAAGATAGATTGTCTGGGTTAGCTTTGCTCTCCATTGAAGGACAATTGGCTACTGAAGTAGATTATAATAAGTAATAGATAACTTTGCTAGAATGAAGCTTAGATGAAAGAGGCAGTTGTAGTTGCTTCATAGATCATATTGTTTTGATCTTATCTTTGAAATATAAAATAAGTAAATAACGTGTTATTGTTTTGATTTTATATACAATATAAATAGATGTCATACTGTAAAACTGTTTTTATATTTTAAATGCAAAATAACACATGTACTTGTAAAACAATATTATTCTTGTGTTTTTATTTTAAGTACAAAATAAGTATGTATAACGAAATTAAAAGTATGTAATTAGTAATTTGATATGTTGGGTGGCGCCTTTTTGTATGTGTTCGTTCCCCCTGATGTTAGAACCTGGCTACGCCACTGGCTGCGGGCGACCGTGCCTGTGGACGGTCAATGTAAACAAACTGTCTCGCGGCCTGCCAGCGGATTACCCTGATGGGCCGCCTGCGCCCCGCAGGCTGTCCACCACTGCTATATGCTATAGGTATAGGTATTTGCTAGGTAAGGCATAGGTATTAATTAAGTAACACAATGAGCTTATACGTCTCGAGGCCTGTAAGCCAATAACTTAACTAAACTAATCAAGGTATAAAGGCCCCAAAGCCTTAGCACACATGTGTCAAACTCAAGGCCCGCGGGCCACATCCGGCCCGCC